CGTTTTATATTTTTTGCTCTACAACAAAAATATTTTGAACAAAAGTTTGTGCACTAAATGATTCTCAAATTTAAAAATGAGTATTAACAAGGGTTAGTTACATACAACTGCACTAAAACCTTATAAGAAAAAGTTCTATGATTTGTTTTTAGTAATGAATTTATCTTTTTTCTTTTGTTTTGTTAGACAAAATACTTTAACACTGAATTCAATTAGTTTCGATACTTTTAGTTTTAGCTCGGTTTCTCTCTTATTCTAAACAAAATATTTTTTCTCCTTGAAGCAAAATGAGTTTGTAAAGTTAAACTAATGATAACTTAATAAAATCTTAAAAGTATACCGAACTAAAGTTCTTTTATAAACTTGACCTCGACCTTTCTTTGGTGAAATATTATTTTATTATTATTGCGCACTTGCGAAACTCGAAATACTTAAAGGTAATACTCATAATACTCACTGACTCGTCCGTCAGTCATTGTGTCAAAGGACATGTAATCCAAGAAGTGTAGAAAACTAACCGAAAGACGAAGAAGTTTCTCTCCCTTTATATCTATTCAAGCTCAAACAGATTTTTTCACCCACAGCTTCTCAAACCTGTCTTCATCTGGAACACACAGCCACCGTAGTGAACCTTATCATTAAAAAGGAAAAAAGACTTTTTGATTACCTCGCCATTGCTCAGTGTCTAGGTTATGCGCCACCATAAGAACATCTGATTTCTTAATGTAAATCTGTATCGCATGGTTTTAAGAATATATTCGTTGTTTACCAAATTCAATTCTCGCTTTATCTAAGTACTCCAACAGTCTATTTCGTATGTGCTGGTTATCCTTGTTGTTTAAAAAGCTTTGTTTTATTTCATTACAGTCTTCTGCGTCCAGCATCGCTTCTACACTCGGTTCCAAAAATTACGGGTCAGTCACAAAAATTGAAATACCTCCAGAACTGTAAAAGTTAGATCAATGAAATAAAAAACAGAATAAAGACTTTTTAGTTGCGCTTCTAATAGCATATTATTTAAACTGGTTGATGAAAAAAACTTCATTAGAAAAACAAAATTTAAAAAAATGACTATTTTTAAAAACAAAATTTTTGTTTCATTTCATTATACGAGAGATGCTTTCCATTTCTATTCTGTCACAAAAAAAAATATCGTGAACGTCTTCCACGTGCATAATTATTATTCTGTGAGGTGAAGCATGGTAGTCACGCTAGAGGAATGTACCAGAATCCTAACTTTTTTGGAACTTGCGTGAAACAGCCAGAAACGTTGGTGTATCTTTGTCGACTGTTCAGCGGGTAGTCCAGCGGTACCAAGAGACCGGATCACACCTTAGAAGACCAGGAAATGGCAGACCAAGATGCACAACGGCCAGGGAAGACAGACAACTGGTGGCTACAATGCTCCGAAATCGTTTTCAAACTGCTGTTGGCCTAAAAACTCACTTTATTCGCTTTAGAGGTGGCAATTTAAGCGCTCAAACAGTAAGAAGACGTCTTGCTGAAGCAAATTTGAAACCATTGAGGCCCGCAAATGGCCCCAAACTGGAACGGGGACATCGAATTGCAAGACAGAGAAACGTGCGCGAGCACCTAAACTGGACACTAGACGATTGGTCTAGGGTAATGTTCACGGACGAGTCTAAATTCATGCTTTATAAGCATGATGGTAGGCAGTTGGTGTACAGAAGACCAGGGGAGCGCTTCCATCAAGCGTGTGTGGAGGAAAAAGTGGCGTACGGTGGAGGCTCCGTACAAGTTTGGGCTGGAATTTCTACTGAGGCCCGCACCGAGCTGGTACTCATTCAAAATGGAACTCTAAATGCAGAGAGGTACGTGGAAGAGATCCTCAATGAACATGTAGGTCCTTTCATGGCCAGGATGGACCGGCATGGCATATTAATGCACGATAATGCGCGTCCCCATACCGCCAGAATTGTACATGACTACCTTGGAGAGGTCGGTATCGAACTCATGCAGTGGCCAGCGCGAAGCCCGGACTTAAACCCCATCGAGCACGCCTGGGACGAGCTTCAGAGATGCGTGAAAGGTCGAAACCCCCCACCAATCACGCTTTCCGAGCTCAAACAAGCACTGGTGGAGGAATGGGAAGGTATTCTTCAGCACAGGCTCCGAAATTTGGTGTACAGCATGCCCAATCGCCTGGAAGCTGTCAGAAGAGCTCGTGGAGGCAATACAAAGTATTAAATGAAGAAAGTGATGAAAAACAGCAAAAAAACAATCATAAAAAAATGTAATCTTAAGAAAAATATGACTACTTTAGTTTTGTTTTTAATTTAGAGATAAGTTAAGATTTAGAGAGTTTAGATTTAGGTTTTATTTTATTTTTTATCTGTATAATTAAATTCTCAATTGAACAGTTCTCGTTTCATTAGGATGGCATACGTAGTTCGGGAGATATTCGGGTTTATGTGACTGACCCGTTATTTTTGGAACCGAGTTTATAATATGACTATTTTATATTTTAACCTACGTATGGAATTGAACTATTGTTCCATTATGTGACATGAATGTGGTGAAATGGTTTTTTGGGTTGAGTAAATAACTTTATGTACTTACTGCCTCTGAATTAGTTTAAATGAATAATAATATAAACTCATCTTAGATTTCATTCTAAACAATATCTGAGAACATGATTAAAAAATAGTCTCTGATATCATTATGTTGAATGGTTAGTTTATCTGATCCTTTTTCTTAGCAAAGGTCGGTAAAATCATTAAATTTTGCTGCAAAATTCAGCATATTTTAGAATACTTTGAAAGTGTAACTTAATTTATTAATCCATTCATAATTATTAGGTAAGCGTTTACGTTTGAATATTTCTGCTACCATTTAAAGTTTCTGCTGAAGTAACGAGGAAAGTGTTAGCTATGGGAGTTAAAGAGTACAAGAGAGGAGAAAGGCCAAAGAAAAGGTAGATGGACTGTGTGAGAGAGGATATGACTAGAAAGAATGTTAACAGTGAAATGACGAAGGATAAAGTAGAATGGGAGAATATTACATACGACCCTAAATAAAATTGAGATAAGGGTAGGCAGATTCGTGGCATAGAATAAGGAGTACTTTTTGTTGGCGATGGGGTGGAAAACATAGTTATGGATACAAATATTAGTGCTGGGTGTAAATCAAATCTGCGACATAACGCGGCAGTTGAATGCCCTACCGCTACGCTACTACAGTTGTGAGTAAATACAAAAAGCGAATGGCGTCTCTCGCTTTATCACCAGCTCATACTGACTTCTTCTCAAGCCCGTTTTTACAGTGGTGCATCTTACAGAGAAAACGGAATCTGGAATATACTCTTAGACTGCAATATTAATAATTTTGTACCACATTCATACAACGCCATCTAGTCCCAAATTAAGCAGCTTGTGCTTGTACAGACAACTAAATATAAAATGTATATGTAAAGTTTTGTGCGGCATAAAATAATGTTAGAACTGTGTTATTTATTTATTTATTTAAATTTAGAATAGACTGTAAAGTGTTGGCAACATTTCGTCTAGTACGCCATCTTAGCCGAGATTGTAACACGGGTAGGCGCGGGCGGAGCGCTCTCAAAACTAAAAACTTCAAAACTTTGTACTGTGAAGAAGTTCTAAACCCCGGATTAAAGATTTGAATTAATACTGCGACTTTACTAATATAACTACCTCCGATTGTCAAAAATACTGTAACAATCAATCAATCAATCAATCAGAATCGAAGTCCAGTTTCGGGGTCACTTAGAGGGTAAGGTCAAATCGGCCTCGAAGAAGCTCGGTGTGCTGAACATATCGAGGCAGTATTTTACTCCGGCCCACTGCCTTCAGCTCTATAAGGCGCAAGTCGAGGCAAGGCATATGGAATACTGTTCTCATCTCTATGCAGGGGCACCTTAGTACCAGCTTCTCCCTCTAGACCACGACGATTCGAGTCGATTTTAGTTCTTGCATCCAACTAAAAAAGGACTTGAATCGTCGATAGCCCAAACTACTTCGATCGGCTCGATCCCTTGGCGTTACGTAGAGATGTGGCTTCACTCTGCATTTTCTATCGCATATTTCAAAGAGAGTGCTCCGAGGAATTGAAAATTTTCATCCTAATTACCAGGATAGTTGGAGCTCCACTACTGTGCGCTTTTCGAGACACTTTTTGCCCCGCATAACCAATGTGTGAAACAGGTTATCGTCTGCGGTATTGCCGGACCGATACGACCTTCTAACCTTCAAGAAAAGAGCGTACTCCTTCCTAAAAGGCCGGCACAGCGTTTGCGACTCCTGAGTTGCAGACATTCATGGGCGGCGATGGTCACTTTCCATCAGGTGACCCGTCTGCTCGTCTGCCCCCTCTAACATAAAAAAAGCATATGTGTTGAAAATTAAAATAGTAAATGGTAGTATGTAGTGAATGCAGAAGCTATACCATGTGTGCCTATGATACATGAGCAATATTTAAAATATATTCGACACTGAGAATACTCTGCTAAAAGATGAGGATCACAAATATTATCATCATCATCATCAGCCTATCGCGGTCTACTGCTAGAGATAGGCCTCTAAATAAATATTTAAATATAATATTTCATGTGAAATATTGTATGACAGCTTATATTAAAACATGAAGCATTAGTTGGTGTGATAATGGGTAAAGTCGATAAGTGCGGAGGCTTAAGCGATCGATGACTAAGCACATGGTGATCCCTACCTTCATTTATTACAATTATAGGTAACGTGGAACATACATATATGTGCACATAACGAAGGCCCGGATAAGGATGGGTTATTTAATTTTGAAAGTTAGAATCGAACTAGCAAATCACTCGTAGCTAATCTGCCAAACACAAGGCGTCATAAATATCTAAATACGAGATGTTTTAAGTATAAATAAAATAATGTTTTGAGTATGAATTAAAAAAAAGTCTTTAGGGATTTGTTTGTTAATAAAGTTACACATTACATTTTAGTATCATCCAAAATGTACAAAACAAAGCGTGGGAAATGATACTAAAAGCTTTAAACCTTCTTGGTTTCAGGTTACCGATGGCGCGTCTAGTCAGCATGATACTCATCCATATTGCAGCCAATGTATGTGCTCAGGATAGAGACAGAGATCATCATCGATTACAGTCCTGTGGGGGCCACCTAAAGGGTCCTGTGGGAATAATTCAGACTCCAAACTTTCCCAACCCGTTCCCTGTCCCCATCAAGTGTAAGTGGATAATAGAACATGATATAGTGAATGGGACTATATCGATATACTTTACACAGCAATATACTACCAGTGGATTGACGTTTACCGAGTACTCGTACTATGATGAAACTTATAAGTTGGAGGAGAAAAGGGTGCTCACTGTCACTGAGGAGAATATCACCAAAGTTAAACGACTACAGGTTAGTGTATTATTTTGGTTTTTTAATGTGTGACAACTTTTCTCTTGTTTCTCTGGACTCGAGGACTCTTCACTAGAAAGTCTTCGTGATAGATCAGTAAGCTGGCGTTCTAAGTGTCCTTGATTTTTAGATATCTTTATTTGACACGGATCGCTCTCAGGTGGAACAATATAATTCTAGTTGCTGCTGCCTTTAAAGATACTGCAGAATACTACTTACTACTTACTAATTTTTAAACAGGAATTTGCTAAGACTCTTGACACCGAGGAATAGGAACGCGACCTAAACTTCGCATTACTGCGCTGTTATAAAGTACACATAACATTCCGCAAAGCGCTTTTTAGAAAGTCCATTTCTTTTATTTGTATTTACTTGCACCATATTTCTCAGGTGATATAACTAGGGAACAAACAATTTATTGTTTTAAACGTAATCCTACATTATAAACATCTAAGTGATACGACTTAGATGTTCATAATGTAGGATTAAGTTAACCCTCTGCGACTGATGTATCCCATTTTTCACAATTTTAGAGACACCATTTTAGAAGAGGGTATTTCCATATTATATCTTAGATTTATATGTCTAACTATTATTTTATTAAAGTTTGGAGTGTGTATCAGTACTATATATTATAAACATATAGAATTAAAAATACAATATTATGAAGTTAAATAACATTTATTAAGATGACGTAAATTAGTCGCCTAACTTAGATGCATAAAAAAAAAACAAAAAAAATATCAACTTATATATTTACAGTAGTTAACAAAACACATAAAAAATCTTTTGTCCAGTAAAAAGTACTATTCGAGAAGGATAGAAAAGTATTTCTTATGCGACAAGCCCGGCAATAGGTAGTATAGAAAAAAAAATATATACCAAAATTACTGCACGCTGAAAAGTTCACTTCGAACATCGCATAGGCTGAATGAGAATATACTCAAGAAGCTAAGAACTTGTTCAACATAACATAGGTTAAGTGCATACTTAACCTACTTTAAGTTAGCCGTCAAGCTTCATCTCATTACGTATGTGGTGGTCCAGTTAATTAGACTGCCCATATTTACAAAGTTAGTTAAGGATCCTAAACTAATACGCCGGGCGTTTACTTACCTATGTAATCATCCTCAACTTAGTTTGTAAAGAAGCTTTTTCCTTGCACAAACTCGTGTCAAGTTCAACAAAGGCTACCTTCCCAATAGTTTGGGGTTATATTTAACATATTTTGTAAGAATTTTTGTTTTTTTTTTATATAGGCGGCAAACAAGCAGACGTTTCACCTGATGATAAGTAACTACCGCCGATGGGCGCTTGCGACGTAAGAGATGCGAGAATACCCCCTCCGAACTCTTTGGGTGGGAGTGGGTTTAAGAGTTCGCGCTTCGGTACTCTCACTCCCTCGCAACCAACAAATGATTTGATTAATACTTAAAAGTTAACTTAAATTACATACGCATACATTACAATTTAGGTATTTTTTATCTATTATTATTTTAAAGAGAATTGGCGTCGTCTATAATTGTAGACAAAATTTAGTTTTGGAATTTGGAGCTTAGAGAGGTATATGTTTATATTTAGAATAGGCTAGATGGAAGTCATACGGTTTTTCTAAATTACCAATCAAAGAAAGCCTATATATTATATAATACTCGTAGGTCTTGCACCTACCGACTATTACTTTTTCCAAAATTTAGACAACTTTTTAGTGGGTAAAAAATTCAATTCCCGAGAGGCAGTACAAAATGCCTTTGAAGATTTTGTTGCCTCCCGTCCAGCTGATTTTTACAAGAAGGGCATCAATAAACTGCCAATGCGTTGGCAGAGATGCGTCGATTGCATGGGTGATTACTTCGAATAACAGAAATAAAAAAGTTTGAAAAAATAAGTACTTTCACTTATTGAATACAAAACGGCAATTTAATAGGTAAAGACCTAATATATACGGTGTCAATTTAAATTTTCATCCTTCTAGAATATTTTCTAAAACTAATTTGGTTTCTGGAGACCTTTTTTGTAGTAATAGTTGTGATAAATCATGAATGTCTTCTAAATAAGTATCTATAAAGCAAGAAAAGTCATCAAAATTATTTTAAAACATAACTAGATCATGCCATGATTACTTATCTAAAAATTAGAAATTGTGTACGGTGAGGTTCGAACCCGTAAACACTTGATCGCAAGTCCGCTGCTCCAGCTACTACACCACCGCCGCTTCATTAATGTACTGTATTGATTTTCAGATCCGTTGTAATATATGCGAACATGTAGTTTAAGGTATATTACTGATACGGCTTTGTGGTCGGATCTCATCAAAGAGTTGACCGCCGGTCATGTCGGTTCGTTGCAGTAACAATAGAACGGACAGATACAGCGCCATCAATGCAACACATAAAATCTGAGCAACGTTATTTACATAAAAACTGGCTTTAGGTACTAGTTTTTCTCTCCGGTTATAGCTTTTAAAATCAAACTAGATATCGTTAGACGACATGAAAGATAAAATTTCACAAATATGTCACGTAACGTCTTAACGCTTTCATCGATAAGCTGTAAAGACGTGTAACCGTACCAAAGCGATAAACTTATGATTTTAGTTTTGTAAGTATTTATATTACTTACTACTATATTACTTAAAAACTATTAATCTTGTCATCAGAAATTTCTGGATTCTGGATTCTGGATTAGAGAGATATCTGGCAACAGCCAGTTCTGATAAAACAGCCATAAAAAGCAGCTATTTTCACAAAAATGGTATACATTTCCAATTTCAATATTTAATTCAATTCCATTCCAATTCAATATTGAGAAGACAAGTTGTCAGTTTATCTTCTTTTAACCTATAAAGCAATGTTACTATATCATTTAAAAATATCTAGGTACGAGTACATTCCGCATTATCCATTAGCAGATCGTCATTCCTTTTTCAACAAAATCGTGTAATAATCTCTGTTAGTTTTAATTGCGGCATTTTCAACTGCGACAATGCTTTAAATTAAACAATTGATGTATTTGTGAAATAGGAGCAACATAATATTATTTATTTCATGAACAATGAACATCATATTTCTCTTATTCCAAATCGTTTTTAAATAAGGTTTAGCAGCAAATGATCAAATCGTAATCAGGGATTGTTTTATCTATGTTAAATATATTATTTGATTTACTTTCGCTTCTAAAATAATTAATTGGCAATAAACAAGAATATAAATTGGTTACTTTATGTTGTATAATAAATGGACCTCCGTTATTAAACACAGCCTAAGGCAGTTTGTTACATACATGTATATTATATGTTGTTGTGTAAGCTGTTCACGGAAATAATGTTGTACTTCAAATAAATGCTCTACAAATATGACTTCTCGGATGGTTATTTCTGAACGCTGCTAGTGTTCTTATATCTTATATCCAAGAGACGGCTCGTTTAGTCTGTATAGCTATTACAAGTGTCACATTTTAACTTATAGACACCATATTTTTTGCTATTACTTATGTATGTGACAGCTGTAGAGGTATTAATATACGCCAAATAGGTATATTGTTTCAAAAACCATACAAAATAATTTGTTATTTTACATAACGTTCTATTCGTTGTTGCAATAACAAGAATCGTGTTGTGAAAAGGAAAAAAAGAAACGTACGAGAACCCTTGAATTTTGATTTCAGAACACGTTCGTCATATTTTCTTTTTGTCAGATCGTGGATACCGATTTTTATTTTGTTTATTTGTTCTCCTTTGAATTCAGAACAGATTACATTTTGATAAATAGTATCATTTCAAAGTACACTAATACTTCTCAAAATAAAAACTTAATAATAATAATGTGTCTTGGGTTTGTGGTTTTAATTTGGGTTCAGATGGAATTGTTTCACACAAGTACATCTGAACCCAAATTAATCAGAGCACAGAGAACCCAAATTAATCAATGGTAACCAGGTTACTGATAACTATACATTTTTGTGAGCAACTAATGTAAGGACATCACATGAAATGCTGCGTCAGCAATTTTCGATTTCAAAACTTTACAGTATCATTTTATTTATTAATAAAATAAAACATGCTCATTTTATTATTCCTTTTTTTAAAGACAACTTCCGCGCTAATAATGAAACCTAATAGAATAATAAAAGAATAAAGAAACATATATGTAACGGACACAAAACTTTCGTAGGTAGGTGTCAAAAAGTCTGGACGCACTTTAAAAGCTTCTAAATTATATTAAGTATTTACAAATAATTAACCTCTAAACAAAGTTGACTACTGTTTATTTAATTAATATTTACAATTATTATATGGTATGTGTATATATTTTAAACTGAGTATTTAAGCCACCGGCTCACTTGCAAGAATTTATAAGCTACACAGCAAACTTCTTAAAAACAACTATCATTGCAATTTTCTTTTAAAATGTCTTAACTTGCTATTTGATTAAAGATGTCGGGTTAGACCTTGTGGACACTACGACATTTTTAGGTATAACACTAAATTCTAAGCTACAGTGGGGCCCACATATTGATACATTATCGAGTAGACTCCGCTCAGCAGCATACGCAGTAAGAAAAATTCGAGAGTTGACTGATGTTGATACAGCACGACTTCTTTACTTTAGTTGTTTTCATAGCACAATGTCGTACGGTATTCTACTGTGGGGGAATGCTGCCGACATTCAAACTATTTTTATACTGCAAAAGAGAGTGATTCGAGGACTTTATAATTTAGGCATTCTTTGTTCATTGAGGCAGAAATTTAAAGAAATAAACATAATGACAGTGGCAAGTCAATATATATTTGCAATTGTAATTTATCTTTATAAAAACAAAGATAGGTTTTTGAAAAGAAGTGATGTACATTCTATAAATACCAGATATAGAAATAAACTTATAAAACCCACGTCTAGGCTCCAAAAGATTAACAAGTCTTTTCGAGGTCAATGTGTCCGATTTTATAATAAAATCCCAAATAATATTCAAGGCTTAAGTATTTACTTAGTATTTACTCT